AATCTTGTTCAATTAATTACATTAAGGGCTATATAACAAACCTATCTAATACTCTTAAATTTTCGATACGTTCCACTCTAGGGCTAAACCCTCATCTTTTCATCTTTCAAAACTTGTCAGGTATTTTGAGTTCCTGAAAAAGTAACTCGTACATTGTTGAATACGTGGAAACAAGAACTACTTTGCAGGATTGCCCGGATAACAGCAGCAATAACAGTTTTTAGACCAATATGGAAAGATGCCAGCATTGCTTTTGGTTCCGAAATAAGGCTCATGCGCTAGATTGTCATATCCATCTTTATGTAAGCTTGTGAAAGATGGACGCTCAGGTCTACAAAGAAGGATTTGAAATAAAATGCTGCTGCAAGATCTTGAGCATCTCACGAACAAATCTACAAGAGGATCCATTGAGCCATCGGATCCTATGAAGACCTCTTGACCAATATAAGAAAGTGCAAACTGAAGTGGTACGGTCATGTCTAAAGATCATCTGGACTGGCAAAAAACAATTTTGCAAGGCATAGTGCGAGGGTGCAGAAACAAAAGCAGACAGAAAAAAAGTTGGGACTATAACATTAAGGAGTGGATAGACATAGGTTTTGGAGATTCCCAAGGTTATAAATGAAAATGTGAGAGGAACTTGAAGTATTATATACTGAATCCAAAATAATCCTTAAAAAAAAGTTACATTCAAGTCCAAAAGAATCTAATGTTCCTAATACATTTTAGATCCTCAGACTGTTACAACTCTATAGAAACAACCAATTAACAAAAAGAAGCAAAATCCTCAAGTTTTGCAAAACTTAGCATTCAATTTAATTATCAAAGTTATAAACGAAAATACGAGACAAAATTACAATATTATAAAACAAATCCAAAATAATCGCGAAAAAGTTCTATAAAATCTAAAAGAAAAAAAGTTTCATATAAATTTCAAAACTGGAAGTGACTTGTCCGCGGAGAATCGGGATGTTGTCAAGATGGCGCTATCTTGAACTCCTTCAAATGATTCCCAACATTTCCATAATCACATTATAGTACAAGTAATGAGCAGTTTCTCCTTCCACTGAACAGTCCAGACAGACAACTTTTTTCGTCATGAATAATATCTAAGTACAGCATAATATACATCTGCAGACTTACAACAGGAATAGATTCAAGTCACATTGGCGAAATCTAACCAAAATTTCAACCATGAATAAATAGTACAAACATCAAAAAGAATCATGTACCAGAGTTACAAAAAATATACAAAATAAGACTAAAATTGTCCAGTTACACGTACTTATATATACGAAATTAAGGGTGAAAACGCATTTTTCTTATACTAGCTACGTGATTTTTACAAATATCCCACATCGTAAACGCATAACAGCCTACATAACCTAACCCATCCAATGGGAATTAACTTAATTCTTGTAAGAACCCACCTGACTGACCTCCATAATAGCAAACAACCCCAAACTCGTCAACATGTTTTGTTATTAATTTTATTAATAACAATTGCAAACACCTAGGAACGTTCTTATTTATAGATTCTGCGTAATCTTCACACTTACTATCTTAAAATAGAACAGATACCCGTATGCAAAATTCAGCTATAGATAATTAATACAATTTACAGTCATGAATGAAATTTACAAAAATTAACGATATACATAATATTCTTTATTGGTGAAACGCTTAATCCAACTTGATTGATATCACTAAATGGTTGGCTGTTTCACTTTCATTTATTGTAACTAACCAGATTGTATTGTCTCTCTTGGACTAAACCAAATAATGGAAGTTGGCATACAAGTTATGGCTTGATGGAGTATAAATAAAACAAATAAAAATAATTTTAAAAAAAACTAAAAATATAACAGGAGCAAAACAATAACAAGAAGATCAAAATGACTAAATATATTCTTTCCTTATCTTTCTAATCTTCATTGTGCAATGGAATAGGGACACACTTATGGATTAGATAGGGTTTTTTCGAATCAAGAAGTGTATAGATGAAACCCACGATTCTTCCATTTTGTATGCTAAAACGTTTGTTAACAATTCAACCAATTCAAACCTTTTATGTCCAAATTTAATATTTGTTTTGTTTGTTTTTTCATTGTGATTTACAACAATCTGATTGGTCAGGTCGTTTTAAATTTCTTTTGCTGATATATGTATGAACCAAAAATATTTATAATAATTTAGCCCGCCCACTGACAATACATTTTGCCGACTTTCGCATGGAGTATTACGTGTAAAATATTTACAAGATAAACTGACGTAAAGTTAGTTTACATGAGCAGCTAGGGCTGAGCGATCATATCATATTTACGGTGTATTGCAAGTAAAGATATATATGAAATCAGATAAACAAAGAGATTCTACTTTATTAGACCGAAAATATGAAGCCGAATGATTGGATAGAATTTAAAAAATTGCAGATGTTTCAGCAAGAGAAAGATGAAGAGATAAGAGATAATCGCGAACCCTGGCTTTCCGAACGTTCTTCCAAGTTACAATCTGGTATGTTCATTTCAAAATTGCTACATCTAGAAAGACCAAAATGGGTGCATTCTTCGGGCAGGACTAAATGCTGGTTTCGCCTAGCGATTAGACAAACTTTGGGATCCACGTCTATGGTCGTGGTTCTTTGTTTTGCAAAAAAAGTGAAACAAAACAATTAAAGAAATGAACCTTTTCTGATGATGTTATTCCAGTCAAAATAAAAAAAATGTTTAGATTTTGATAGGTTGGTTGTTGCTATACTCACTCATAAAGAAATAGTGGGCGCTATCGTCCAGTTACAGGCGGAAAAATAATAGCCAGTGTTATAATTTAAAGGTACGGTAAGCGTGCTTAATGAATGAATAAAATATGGGTCGGCCCTGATATAATAGAATAGTAAAATATAAACTGGGTGAATCGAATTGATGAGCTGAGATGTTTCAAAACCGTAGATCACATCATACTATGTTCACGTATGAAACATTGCTCTCTCTCTCTCTCTCTCTCTCTCTCTCTCTCTCTCTCTCTCTCTCTCTCTCTCTCTCTCTCTCTCTCTCTCTCTCTCTCTCTCTCTCTCTCTCACACACACACACACACACACACACACACACACACAAACACACGCACACGCACACACTTTAGTCACACATAAACTCACATGTCCATGGATAGAGTCGATGAAGTTTACTTTTTCATATTATTGATTTCAGGTGATTATTTGCTCTGGAATTACAAGAATTCTGACAATATTCTTGGATAAAGATATTTGTTAGAATTTACACTGAATTCAAACCTGGAATACTATTTCTGGAATTCAACAAGAAACTGTTGACACATGAGTACAATTCAACAAGAAACTGTTGACACATCAGTACAGCGCAAGCTATAACAGACACGCCATTGCCTTCAATTTTAAGTCTCTGGGACTTGAACTGAATTTTATTCAGGACTTTGTATTACTGGGACTTGTGTCCTTAACTTTTGGATCATTTTTGGATTTATTTCGTAAAGTCGTAAAAAAAATATCATTTTCACTTTGTATTCTATGGAAATAAATTATTTGCTAACTTTTACAAAACTTGTTGTCTTCAATCTTTCCTGTTGCTTTCTAAGAGCATAGACTTGTAACAAAGCCCTAAACAACACCCCACCACACCGCACACCCCGTTAACGCTTTAAAAAGACGTTTACTAACAGCTTTTATCAACTCGAATTGACTTAATTTTATCACGCTGTGTGTTGATTAAACCCATCACTGATAAACTCTCTCTCTCTCTCTCTCTCTCTCTCTCTCTCTCTCTCTCTCTCTCTCTCTCTCTCTCTCTCTCTCTCTCTCTCTCTCTCTCTCTCTCTCTCTCTTAAAATTGTTAAAGCTACCTTAAAAATCTAAATCAAACGCACACATACACGCACACTTTAATCTTCTCAGAGCAGATATAAAAAATTGGGGGGGGGGGGGGTTAAATATACCATCTCCGTTTGTGCCACAATATCCTTGGTATAACGAACTTGACCTTATCATTCTACCTCTATCCTTCTAACTTGCGAAATTTTTAACATCTCCTGGTGACATTCATATTTCTTTTTAAATATTTCAATATTTAATTCATCTGTGTCATATGTACACTCTTGTTTAAAATCATTTAGATGTTAAAAAGTGGATATATTTGTTATTTCCTGTATACTACAGACTACACTGTAACAGCTAAGAAATAGAACATCTTTACTTTAATAGCAAGATTTGTATACTATAGATATATATCAAGCAGGAGCTACTCACAAATTTCGACATAGGATCATAGGGAAATAAGGACATATAGTAAAAGTAATTACTCAAATCAAAATTTAAAATTTTGTATTATAAAAAATTAATATTGTAGCTTGATCATATGCGAATTTGTCTTTCGTGAATCTTGACTGTGAGTACTTACACTGTGTAATTCAATGGTTGTCGTGGACTGACTGATTCTATTAACACACTTTTTTTTTAAAGAAAAGGCCTATTTCTAACTTTGTCTTTTTACTTTTGCTGTAAAAGTTAACTACAGGGAGAGACTTTTTATTTCTTTTTATGTTCACTGAAGTATGAACTGAAAAAGCGCTCTCAAAAGTAAGTATGATCCTCTATGATGGATATCGTAATTTGCGGATTGTTTTTAGATCAATTCTTCAGTAAAATTAAAAAGATAAAAACAAACCGGGAAGTATATAAATATAAAACTATTTTTGGAGACCGGACACAATATTGTATACTCTACTGCTGATATTAAAAAAAATAGCTTTTTTTTTTCAAGGAAAATTAAAATTCGCATCAATTATTGGCGCCAAATACAAAAGCACCCATTCGCAGGTACATCTGAGAATGTAATATAAGTGACGTAACATAATTAGAAAACGCATAGCTGTCGTTTGTCTTAGAACTGTAAAATACACCCGTTTATTTACAATTTTCCACACAGATTCTTGTTTTAGTGGAGTAAAAATCTCTTTCATCTTCTTCAACCGCTCCGATGGCCTAGTGGTTAGAGCATCCGCCTCGAATGCGGGAGGTCGTGGGTAGGAACCCCGGCCGATACACAGCAAAGACTCTAAAGAATGTCATGGTACTAACACCTGCCTCGCTTGGCGCTCAGCATTAAGAGGTTTGTGTTAGCACTGGTTGGTCTGGTGTCAGGATAATATGGCTGGGTGAGACATCATGCCTCATGTCTGTGGCATGATGCTTCAGTGCTAGACATCACTATAAACTGTCACACTGCAGACATCGTAGCGATATGACTAAAAAATTGTTAAAGCTACGTTAAAAATCTAAATAAAACACACACATACACACACTCGTTAATCTTCTCAGAGCAGATATAAAAAATTGTGTGTGTTGTTTTATTTTTTTAAAAAAAAGATACCATCTCCGTTTGGGCTACAATATCCTTGGTACAACGACCTTGACCATATCATTCTACCTCTATCCTTCTAACTTGCGAAATTTTTAACGTCTTCTGGTGACATTCATCTTTCTTTTTAAATATTTCAATATTGAATTTATCTGTGTCATATGTACACTCCTGTTTCAAATCATTTAGATGTTGTTCGTATATTTCTTAGTAAAAAAATCTGCTATTAATACTTGATACGTTGAATCATTTTATTGTTCAACAGCAGTGTAGTAATTTTGTAAAACATCATTTATCGTTTTAATCTTGCCACTCAGCTCAGTAATAGATAAATTTTAAGTTGTCATCGTAACTCGGACCTTTCATTAGCATTGTTTTTGTTCTGATGTTGTTGTAGGGTTTAACGCCATTTTCAGCACAAGATAGGCTATACATGGCGGCCAGTATTAATGGTGTTTGAAGAACCCTGGAAAACCCAGGGAAGAACCACCGACCCACGAGAAGCTACTGGCAGGCTTTCTCATTTACCCACGTTAGCCGAGTCTGTATTCTGATGTCCATTGTCGTTTAGATATCCCTCTTAAGTCAATCTTCTTCTGTAATTCCAGCATGGCATTGGAAATCGTTATTAGTTTAAATAATTGTTTTGTTAAATTCCTTCAATAAGTCTTCAATATCCATGTCGTATTTTTGGATTTCATTATTCAGATTTCTCTGTAACTGTTCAACTGTGATCGCAAAGCTTTATAGTCTACCCGAGATTTATGTTCTCCACAGCACTATCAAAAACATATATCTCACCTCTTAGCCTATGCTCGATTATCTTATTGAATGTTACACACAGATCCAGTTATACCAAAGACTTATAGTTAGCAGTTGCCTCGCTTGGCTCTCAGCTTTAAGAGGTTAATGTGGCTGGGTGGGACACGATACCACATGTCTGCGGAATGATACCACAGTGCTAGACATCACTATAAATTGACACATTGCAGACATCGCAGAGTATGACTGAACTAATTTTAAAGCTACGTTAAAAATCCAAATCGCACAAATCGCTTCGATTGGTAAATTCTACTAGCTCGTAAACAAGGTTAGGCCTTGAAATGAAATTTTAATCAACATGATGCATACTACTTAAAGTCATGACAAAAGTCAGATATGTAAATACTCCATCCACAACCCTCAATCACGAACAAAGAATTATGCGTACAATATGGATACATGTACACATAACATTTGTAATGACGATTAACAGTGCATAAAACAATCTCTTAGTGAATATCATTATAACAAGTAGACAAACAAATTCGAATGGAATAGTCTAGAAAATATGAATAATGGTTATTAGAATATTTTTTAGAGCTATTGAGGATATGATAATATTATTTATTGAGGATTATAATTTAGTGTCGAGGAAAATTTTTAAAAAAAATTGGTTTCTAAAACATATCGAGTAAGATTCAGTAGATTTATGTGTTGATCAATGGCTATTGAAGTCTAGTAATTTAGCAATTCTAGTTGTAATATATGCTGTGTAATTGTTACTTGTAGTGATTTCAATTTTGATTCTTGTTTTTTTTTTTTTTTTAAATAGCATTCATACATTTTTCTTTAGCATTACTGACTGTCATTCTTTCTTAGATATTTAGTCATGTTCTTTCAAGGTTTTGAAAAGCAACTAGAAGTAAAATAGTCCTTGTTTCATTCTTGTCGTTTATGCAACAGTATAGAATGTTTTTAGTTCGCAGGAAAAATTATAATATCCAGTAACAAAATCTACTCACTTCGAAATATCAATATATTTTTTTCCCAAGGCATCAAACCAAATTAAATTATCCCCTCCCCTCCATAGTATCATCTCGGTTTGTATTTGTAAAATATATATTTTGTTCATGAAGACATTCATATAGTTAGCTTGCAGCGTTACGAAGGTGATGTATTTCATCGATAGATTGATTGATTGTAATATACTTTACGAATTTTGCATAGCAAACGTCATACTTCATGTACACGGAGATTTTTTGTTTAATTCGTATCCTTTCCTTTCTTTTCTCTATCTCTTTTCTCGCTGAAGATTTTCTCTTATTGCCACAGAAAAAAATCTTTTATATTCCTAATTACATGGGCTTTTTGTAAGCTTTTACGGATTACATTTTTAACTTCTTTGAATCCATTGTGCTTCTTGATGAACCAAAACAATTCTTCATGGCAGATTGTATTTTCAGCGATAGATTAGTTATCATGCCTTCAATACTGTTCCTTTTAATAATCGATGATGTTACTAATTTATCATGTTCAAAAACTTTTTATATACCAGATTTTAATTCAGAGCTTTTGGTACGGATTCTATCAATGCTGCAAAAGTTTGTAAGAAACATGTACACCAGTATCTATTCATGCAATACTTAATCATGCTGCTATTATTTATATACCACTTAAAACTGTTGCTATGCTAGTCTCCACCCAATCCCAAATTTTGTATCACTTTTAATATCTCTATTGTGACAGAATATATTTTTATCATTTAAATCTTTTGCGGCCTGAAATTTTAGAATCAATTGTCAGATTGTCTTTTCTTTGTGGGTGCGGCCATTTTGGCAGTATAAGATATAACGGTGGAGCACGTGGTATTTTCTGAGTGATATATTTAGAGAGGAAAAACTGTCTTCTGATACACATGAAATATGCAGATTTGGACCACTGTGAGTGACCTTGATGATTTTCAGTCATCAAAAGTGACAAGGTAGACTGTGTTGGCCCAACTCTCTTATATATGATGTTCTCTGCAATGCTTACCGCCGCAATTCTTGACTAAGACCATGGGATTGACATCAGAAACTGGATTGAAGGCAAGTTCTTCAATCTGAGAAGACAAAATGCAAATTCTAAGTTAGAGAATAAAACTGATCGTGATCTTCTATTAGTTGATTTCTGTTCCCTAAATGCCAAATATAAATATGACACGCAACAGAGTATGCACCATTTCTATTCAGGCTGTGACAATTTCGGTCTCACATTTAGTATCAAGAAGAAGACAGAGGCGATGCGCCAAGCAGCACAAGAAAGGCCTTATTTAGAGTATACCATCATTGGCCAAATCTTCCTGGCAATTGAAAGGTTTACCTATCTCGATAGTACGTGCAGTCTACATCAATGATAAAACTAACGGAAAAATTGCTAAGTAAGTGTGGACTTTGGGAGACTTCGAGTAAATGTGTGGGAGCGCTCCAAACAAAACAGTCTGCAAACAAAATGAAGGTCGACACTTCCATTGTGTTGCCGACATTGCTGTATGAATGCAACACCATGCCAAAAAAACTGAACCATTTTTAGATTGGGCTGCCTGACGACACGTATGAAGTTAGGACGGTATGACATTGTCCAAGACAATGAAGTTCTCACATGGACAGGCATTTCAAACATCCACATTCTACAGATGAAATCACATATGAGATGGACATTCCACGTCACTAGGATGTCAGACGAGCGACTACCAAATAAGATCTTATACAGCGAGTTGAAGGAGGGAAAGCGATCTCAGGATGGTCAGAAGAAAGATTCAAAGATTCACTCAGATCATCCGTGAAACATCTCAACACTGATATTAAATCTTGGGAAGGTCGCGTACTCCACCTGGCTGAGTCTCATCTATACTGGAGCTTCAGACTTTGAAATGAAGAAAATGTCTGAAACACGAGCCGCGTAAATCTCGGACCTATAGAATGTCCTCTTGTTCACCAAGAAGCCCCAAATGACAGCTCCTGTCCTGTATGACACAGACGATTAAGAGAAACGACTGGCTTGATAGGTCACTCATGTATTCACAGAAACCAACCAGTTGGTGATGTCATGGTCCTCTTCGAATTCGAAGGACGAACAAGTATGAAAGAGGCAGATTCGACTTTAGAATGATAACAGGTAACCTTGTATCTATTTTGGGCTCTAATGTGCAGATTTTGTAAGTTTTCTTAATTTCTTCGGCTTGCTTTTTAAAATACAAATGTGGTATATTTAGTTCAAATTGTGTGTTTAAATTTTGTTCATAATTGTAAGTTAGATAATGTAAACAAGATGTTAATATGGCTAATTTTTGTCCGTGATTGTAGGTTATAAATAGGTTGTTATGAGTTTAGAATGTTCTGTAAACAGAACTATTTTTAATTTGATTGGAAATTTTTATTAGAATAACTCGCGACCAGGTCGAGTGAAAATGTGTATAGACAGAAACTTGGTAAACAAAAAAAAATCATTTCTGTTTTGTATCAGTCTGAGGGAATCCATGTTCATAGGTTGCAGTTGAATTAGATATAATTTGAGAGATATTAATTTGTTAAAATTATTCATTTGGAATTACTAAGTGCTGATTTAATTATTATTAGGATTTAATTCACGACACTGCAAGTATTTCATAACTTTTCACTTTATAACATAGATAAATAAATTGCTTGTTTAATTTATAATAGTCTAAGATCAAGAGTAGTAACAAATAGAAATATCCTTTCCTCTGGAAGTACTTATTCACCGCGTCCAAAAAAGACGTGTGCAGGAAAACAACTTTGCGCACGGCGACTATGGCACACTGAAACAAAAGATAAGCTGTTGACAAAGTAAAAATTTCTCAGGTAAGAGTCCATTTGATATCAGGTAGTCGAATTAAGGTCTCCGCGAAAAGAAACTTGTATGACT